TTTAGAAGATCATTCGCGATTTCGCCTCCTCGTGCAGAAGCGTTCTTCTCTAAATGAGTAAAAATAAGATAAGAGTAGAGTGCTAGGATTGAACACACACATACAGCGAACTCCGGTTATAGTGAACCTGTAGGGATTAACTTCCTTGGTTCACTATATCCGAGCATGTTAAAATTATATAGGATTTCTCCAAAATGGTTTTATTAATATATGTAGATATTCAGAACATACACCACGAACTGAAATTTTCAATATATTTATTTGTCCTTTAAAAAATAATATCCAATTATTTGCTTTGTACAATTTTCATTACTAATTTCTCTCAAGTTTGTACTCTCGCCATACTTAATTATGCATTGTCCACTGTAACAAAGTATTGTAATATATCTTGGCACCCTTCAATGCCTCGTGCAATGCTTCGAAGCCACACTCTCCGAATTTACTCGCCTAATCACATACGAGATGCTTTCGGTAGCGGCAAGAAGTAAGCTGCTAATGACACTGATAGCTTTTCCACGAGGCACCGCTGGTATCGGGAGGCCGTGGCAGTCGCGCGCGTCCTGTCGCCTACATAGAATACAACGCGCTGAGACCCACAGAATATCACGTATCACCAAGCTTGAACTGAGTGGCACGAGTTCATCAGTACCAAGAGCGCACGTTTTCTTGATCCTCGAGCTTCCTAGTTCTCGCTCAGCCCCGCACAGCACGGCACGGTAGAAAATATGAGCTCCACTCGAAACGTCACGGCTGTTTGCAGTGATGCCCACCTTCTTCCTTTACAATGCCGAATTCCTAGTTTTCGCTTTTCTCTTGTATCAACCTGTGCGTACTATGTTTCTTCTTTTTACTCTATTTCTATAACTATTAATAATTTCTTCGGAATTCTTAAAAATATTGCATTTTCTCATTGGTATCTAATCCAAGACGCGCTATTGCGCTGAGTTTTCAATCGATGACGTTGACAGCACTGCAACTGCCGTGACGTAGGCAGAACCCGCCTCTCCCAGCTGTGGAGTACCAAGAAAAAGAAAGCGTTAAGTAAGGTCACCGTTCCGGGTCCACTTTCATCTCAGGGGAGACTTCTTCGATTATGACCTTTGGCAGATTTTTTTTCTTCAAGCTGCTTAGTGTTGACATTTTTGTAGCACTGAGGCGATATGTTGTTCCAGGAGGAAATTAATTTCCAGGTCATTGTAATGCCTACTACTAGTTTCAGGTTGACTATAACAATTTTCTTATGCTTATTTGAAATATAAGTGAAACGGAACCAGTGGTTCAGTATAACCACTATAACCGAAGGTTCAGTATAACAGAGTTCACTACAACCAGAGGCGACTATGTATGTGTGTGCGCGCGCGTGCATAGGGGCCTTCATTTTCGAATCCGCCAAGGAGCTTCAAGGGTTCTAGATCAACGGCCCTGCTTGTGTTGATCGTTAACCAAAATCACCTTCGTAAATCAAGAGGAAAGGCAAAGATAGAATTCCTAATCATATCCAGGGAAATGGCAATCCTCACAGCTGAAATGTGAAATCCGGCGCCGACCTACATGATGCGAGGGTTTCCTCTCTGGGATTCTCCGGAAACGAAACACCGCCCCAAGGGGATACGTTATAAGCTTCTGACACGTATGTATTGCGTGTAAGTGTGTTTAAGATGGACTCTAGGATGTGGAAGGAAAAACCACACACGGCACATTAAGGCACTGCCCTAAGGTATTTAATACATTTAAGACTTTTCTACCAGCAGGAAGAAGTTTCCAATAAAAATGAGACCATATAAATTTAAAACACTCATTTTGCAAAGATGTTGAAAATATTGATTTTGAATGCATTACCCAATACGATTCAGTACCACATGACAGATCTGAGGAACTTAAACCCAACAAATTCTTTTCAATTTCGATCAATTCTGATGATAGTTTGAATGCATTCTTTTAGAAGACTATGTATGATCATAATATTCACAAAAAGATAACTTTGTACAATTGACTTCAATTAGCAAAATTTCTAATTTCCCCATTATCCAGGAGAAATAACTGAATGAATTGTACAAGTAAACATAATTTGTTCAAGGTATTTATTTCAAAAAAAAAACTCACACATCTTTCTATAAATTAACAAAACATTTGCTTAAGTACACAAAGATCTTTCATTATAAACAAATACTTATTTTACTGAAATTTCCCTTAATCAAAAAAATAAACTATCCCTCCTTTTTCATTTTACATACTCTTTTAAATGCTTGGTTATCCAGCCTTGTTGCATATTGCTCGAGAACAGTAATGAGAACCAGAGAAATGATTTCTGATCACTGTGTGTCCAGAATGTATTTTCAACCATTTCTGATTAGTGAAGGACTCGACAACATTTCTCACACTGGAATCTTTCCAAATGGAAAAGATTTTTGTGGTTAATTCACACACCTCCGAGTGATTGCAGTAAATGGACATCTATCACATGAGAATTTTCGAGCCTCTTTTGTACCATGAACAGTGCTTTTCATGCCAGTGTTAAAGCATACGATCGAATAAAACTGACATGGCATATTTTACACTTAAAAAGTTTTCCCCAGTATGAATCCTATTATGAAAAATTAAATGGCACTTCTGTGTAAAAGACTTTCCACAAACAGAACATGTATATTTTGTTTTAAATGAATCAACATATGCTTCCAAAAATCAGTCCGAAAGCAAAATACTTATCACAAATTCTACAAAGGTAACATTTTGGTCGGTGAACTAACATAATATGACTTCGTATATGCTTCACCTTCTTGCCACAAACTCCACACAGCTCAGTTTCACGATTTTGTCTGCGGTCATCATCTTCATATAGTTTGTCCTTAAATAATTTCGTTTATTGTTTTTCATCTTTATGCAGATGAATTTATCAAGATAATGAATCCATTGTGGTACTTATATTCACGTTTTGTGCAGAAAGTTTTGAGCATTTTTCACATTTAATTTTTCTTTCCGTGAATTTCATAAGTATTAACAATCTATGTTCTAAACGTAAATGTCTCCTCAGCAATGATTTGTAAAATAAACGCGGAGCACACAAGGAACACACAAAAGCATGTAATTTCATGTAACCTTAAGAACTTAGACTGGAAAATCCACTTTACATTTTCACAGTAGTATTGCTTTTTCAATGAATTTGCAAGAGGGTACAGGTAACACCTTTCGACATTGGCTCTTTCACAATCAGGTATGACATTATCCAGAAAATGAAAATGTTCCTTGAAATCTGTAACAAAGGAGCAACAACATTAAGTCACATGTACAAACATGAACAGTACTACACAAGATTACTTTGATTAATTCATATTTTCTGGGATCACTTACTCGTCTCTGGAATTTGTACTTTTTCAGTAGGAGCGAACACGTTATTAGTGAATTTTTAGAAATATACTGAGTAACAACAAAAGTTGCCAAATAGCTGTCAACATTCTAGATTTTAAAAAAATACTACTTTGAACTCTTTTAAAAAATCGAATGAAATTGCCTTTTGCACTGCAAAAGCACATCCTGAACATGATGAATCACAATTTAGAATCTAAAGCAGAGTATGTTAAAAACCTTGAGTAATTATTTGCCGAATTTTTATAACGTTCATATTAGGGAAGCCTACAGAAATTAACAAATGCCTTCATCCCCTAATAGCCTCCTGATTTTAAAAAAAATTAACTAATTCTTACTATTTAATCAATAAAGTCACAAATTGTTTAATTGGTTGTGTTGATGAGGTTAAATACTTTTGACTCTGGTATCATCACTATTTGCTTGTTCCTTAAAGTCATCGCAATAATAATTTTTGGCACTACCATTTTAACACCTCGTGCAGCATGGTTTCTTTCTTTCTGGTACCCCCTAGTTCTTCTAAACCCCTCCACAACCCCCCCCCCAACACACCTCAAAATTCTGCTGGATGAAATTGCGTTCTTTCATCTGACATACAAGAATCCCTTCTGTTACCACCCCTGTAAATTCGTCGATCCGGATGGCCGAGATCTCTAAAGCGGTAGTGTCGTGTCGATCTCGGAATGAAGGATCCCGCCTCGGGCATGAATGTATTTGTGATCGTCCCTTCACCCTGTATCATCCTATCGCTTCATTAAAGACGAATTAATAATTCCCTGTGCAAGCAGGCCTTAACCGTTTAGTGGACGCGAGGCGTACACCCGTACTCCAGTAAAAGGAGCTGTTTTGTTAACAAACCTTCAGAATTTTGACACAAATTATTATTTTTATAACGTTTTACTATTACTTTATTATAGCAATAATAAACTGACACACACGAGATAATTCAGTTATAAAAATACATTTTGAAGAAAGCAGAAAAAATATGTTTATTGTCACAAATCACTTTGGAAGTTTTACACATGGCTCAAATGTTAAAAGTTTCATAACAGAAAAACAAATATTACTCCTAACAATTTGTGGTCTGATCAATCCCCAAGCAATTTCTTCGATGTAATAAAGTCTACTGGTTTTGTTTTGCCAGTTGTCTCTCAAATAGCCGCTAACTTGCCAATGTTTTGAGACTTCTATCCTTCACATCGTGAAATCTTAAAAGAGTTCTCAAAAAAATCAAAATCTCTTCAGGATCATTGACAAAAAAACATGCTTCTATACTTGAGCCTCTGGAATTGTCCCATATTTTGAGGCATTGTTTTTTTCTTGAATTTCCATGTGAGCCAATAAGAGCTCTATCTCCGTAGCATCTTATTGGAATCCTTGCATCTCTGTTGCGACTAAAACGTGATATTTTCTCCTCATATAAATGTTATGTATTTCTGGTGATCAAACTTATCATTTATAAAGATACAGTCAGTAGCATCAACTGGCCCTTTGGCACTTTCCTTTGGTCCTGGCAAATGCAAAATAATGTTGTGAGACCTCGAACGAACATTCACGTGTGGTTTTTCCTTATTCCAAATTGTCTTTTTGCCTTTTGCGACGAAATAACTCATTAGTAACGGAGTCTCTGTTTCATACTAATCTTCTGACTCGCTTTTTTCAGTCTCTGAATTGTGATCACTAATTTCAAGATCTTCTGGAACATCATCATCATCACTATCATTCTCATCATAATCTGATTCATCTTCTATTTCCGATTTGCAAATGACATCCGCATCCGAAGTCTTTTCTTGCAACTTACTTTGTTTAGCAGAATTCATATTTCAAAATAAACACAACACTACACTACTTTCAGATAGCTCGACACAGACGTAAAACACAGATTACATAGTCAGATAAACACCAAAGGAGCGAAAGACACGACGGACGAAGAGCACTGTTGCTAACATGCGAGTTGTTACCGTTGAGTAGAGATACTGTATCTCTCCTCTATCGTTATTACTCGCGCAAGTTTTCTTGAACGATGACCTTGCTTCCCCCTCTTTGGTACAATTAACAGATGAAGGCAAAAGCTCGCAGGTAGCACTGATGACGAACATTCTAAACACTTCTTCCCTGGCGTGAAATAGAAACTATTTTATGTTGAAGACTAGAACTTCTGTCCGTGATTTTCTGCAAAACATCTAAAGAAATGATCGAAGCAGGTGAAGATCTATCACAGGAAATGCCTCGAACTCATAAGAAAGTTAGAACGCAAATTATTGAGAAAGTTGTGAAGACATGACTGATTCTCCGGAGATTGGCATTGCTTCATAAAATCTAGTGGCCGATTTCGTAACTGATACCCCAACTCTACCCGCATTTCTTCAATCCGTCGTTCAAGTAAAGTAGCGCGAGTAATATTAGTAACGAAATCTGCCATTAGATTTTAAGAAGCCATGCCAATCCCAGGAGAATCAGTCTTGCCTTCACAACTTTCTCAATAATTTGCGTTCTAACTTACTTATGAGTTCGATGTATCTCCTGTTGTAGATCGTTATCTGCTTCGGTAATTACTTTAGATTTTTTGGAGAAAATAATGGTCAGAAGTTTTATCTTCAAAAGAAAATTGTTTCTATTTCGCGCCAGTGAAGATGTGTTTGGAATGTTGTCATCAGTGCTCGCTGCGAGCTTTACCTTCAACTTTTTTTTGTGCCAGAGAGGGAGAAGCAAGGTTATCGTTTAAGGAAAGTTGCGTAATAATAACTGAGGGATGTTAGTGGGCGCGTGGAGTACGACGATGCTCCATTCAAAACAAATCTGTTATCGCGAGAGAGATTAGCGGCTTTGATGACATCAATTTCTTACATGCGATTCGTTACAATTAGTCAGATACCGGGAAAGACAGCTCAAAGAATTAACTTATATAAAAGAAATGAAGATTTGAAATTATGTGGAGTACAACGGTACTCCGAGCGATCACTGACGGGTTAGAGATTTGCAGCTGGCAGAAAAAAGTACATAATCTACAAGTGAAATGCGACTTTCAGCATGTAGCGTAGAAGAGAGCGAAGTTACCAACGTGTGATCATTCTTTTGCAAAGAAAATACTTAATCATTCCGTTTCTCTGGTTGAATATATGGTACATATATAAGAAGTAATATAAAGTTATGTAATGCCGCGGAAATTCGATTTCAACGGAAAAGCACATTATGGTGTTCCCTGATACATAAAAGATTGTCCCCCCCTACCCCAAAAAATCTCGTCATTGAACAACACTGCCGCCTAAACTATTCGTAAAATATTTTTCCAAAATGGATATTCCCCGGTCAATATGGCTCAAACCGAAGCTCTGCAATTTTGAAAAAAATCTTTAAATTTTGGGGATGCCCAAAATGAAGCCCTGGAACATTTTTGAAATTTTCTCATAAATAGCTCCAAATTTTTTTCATCAAAGAATAGAATGAAATACACTTATAATGATGGGATAGGTCAGATTTTCACTGTTAACTCTGGATTTTCGAAAATTGGAAAAGTTTAAATTTTGTTCGGCATCTTTAATCACAAAATTGAGGTGAGAGATTTTTCCTTCAAATGAAATATGTTCTTCGTGTTTTTTCTTTCATTAATGGCATATACATTTTTTGAAAAAGGTAGTAGTTTTCGCGCAATATTGCAAGAAATATGGGTAACATTAAACTAGTGTTGTCTACAGAATAGCACGGATTTTCTCGTTGCCGTTAGGTTTGTAATTTCTTTGGTTTGGCCTAGCTTTTCGGCTTTGCCTAATCCTGATACTAGCTGCCATCTATCGCCGCAAAATGAACATTTCTTAAAAATTCTCTTAATTTTTCGCTTTCCTCGTTGAAAAACCGAAATATTACTTGAGAAAAATTATAGAAGAGTTCTATAATTCAGAAGTTCAGAAATTTTCGTTGAAACATTTTGAGCCATTTTTAAGAATATGTTGAAACGTTACTGTCAATGCGAAATTTGTAGCTCCTTTTCATAGAAATTTTGATTTTTGAATAACTTTATTGAAAATCATTTGAAGTACGTTCACTCACAAATTCAATAATGCAAACAAATCTCTAGAAATGTGTGTATTACAGAAGAAAGAAATTTCGAAAAAAAAAAATACTTTTGTATTACTTTTGAAATAAAACAATGGAGCAAAATTAATTTTATGTCAACATAAACAGTGAAGTTCGCACTATTCATAAGAAATGTTTAAAGTAACATTTGGAGCAGTTTTTGAGAAAATGACATATGAGCGTTTCTGAAAATTCAGAATTTTGAGCTCTAATGTAAATATTATGGAAGTGAGAGACAATTCAAAATAATTATATCTTTGATAATGCAAAAGAACAGAGCAATATGGCGTTTATGTCATCTGATAAAGTACATTTAGCACTATCCATACCAAAAGTTAACAGAAAAAACTTAGAGCAGTTTTCGAGAAAATCTTGTTTATGTTACTTTTAATATTGCAAAGAAAATTGCGCGAAAAATACTAAAATTTTCAAAAAATGTACACGACCGTAATAAAAGAATTACGATTACAAAAATGTATTTGAAGGAAAGATCTATTTTGTAGTAGGAATAAACCGGAAAAAGTTCAAACATTTAAAATTCTCGAAAATTCAAATAAATACAGTAAATTCAGTGAAAGACGTACATACACCATAAGATTTATTATAATCTTTAAATATAAATAATAATTAGATTATTTTAATAGAAATAATATATTCTTTAAAATAATTTTGAGACTTTTTGAAAATTTTGAAAACTTCCCTAAATCGAGTAAAGTTCTTCCAAATTTTAAGGAATATTTTTCAAAATCGCAAAGCTTCGAGTTGAGCCAGATCGACCGGAAAATATCTATTTTCGAAAGCAAAAAAGAAAAGAAAAAAGAAAAAAAGAAGAAAAAAAAATCTTTCTATGGGTGTTGGCAGACTGACGTTTTGAAGGAAAGAAAGAAAAAACACTTATTCGGTATAAGGGTACTCCACAACACGTATTTCCGTTGAAATCTCGAAATCGATTTTCCACAGCATTACACAACTTTCTCTGTACTACGTATATTACTACGCATATACGTATGTACACGAGGAAGTAAAAATAGTCGAGACTTTAAACAATTGATTAATAATACGTAACTACAATAGTGTAAAAGGAAACTTCTTACCTTGAGAATCTAGATTGAACGTCGATTAAAGTTTCGTTTGTTGTCAAAAAATTTAATCATGAAAAATTGTTCACCTAAGATATCTTTTTTAGCACATTGAAATCATTTTGGGAAAAGTGACAAAGTTTTAAAAATCAAGTACTTTTGGTCTGAGCGATTGGTTCATCCCGAGAACTAGAATTTATAATTGCGCCAGTAGTTATCTATAACATTTGCTGGGATAAACTCAATTCTTCTCCCTATCGGATTGTATTACTACAACATTAGTCATAACACACATACTGGATTCACCAGTTGTAGATGTTCAAGAACATTCTGCCGGTTTGATTCTATCACTTCACATGACATTTCCAATTCCTGACTGAACATGATCTTGACATTTGTTATCTGCCTTTTGAGGCATATTTGTATAATTACCATTTCTCTTTAGTGAGAGTCTATTCTCTGAACCCTATAAGTGTGGGTAGTTAAAATGTATGCACTCTCAGAACTGTACTAATATGCATTTCAATGTATCGATAATTTGTTGGTACACATGGAGCATCTTTTCAAAATCACTATTATTGAAATAAAAGACAGCACATCCTAAATAATTAAAACAACCTGTTTCAAGATTTTATTACTAACTAGAGTTGTCCAGGTATTTATTATTCACAACCTCTATTAGACTGGATTATGAATTCTATATATACTGTTCTCCTGCCTTACCCTATCATGATTCAACCAGTATTTTCCCTATCTTGCCAAACTCCACCAAACCGGCGCTGCCTCTCTTTAAGTCACATGGTCCCACACCATACTGACCTGATTTGCTGTTTATGATTGCTAACCCCATTGCTGCTTTGGACGGCTATAAACAAATGCATTGTTGCGATTTCCTACAAGAATTACTAGTTGCGAATTACTACAAGATTAATTGCATTATATATGAATGAATCAAAACTCATTTACAAAGAAATTATATGTTCTTTACTTAATGTTTTATTAACTTTTTTGAATGCAAGTACTGCTGAAGATTGGATTAACCTAAACTGTGTCTTTCATTTTTATTGATTTGTTTTAATATTTTGAAAGCTTTATTTGACATCCTTGTATATCTTGTTCAATATTTTTTTACATATTTCTCCCAAATTACTCCCATGAATGATTAATGAAGACACTCTTAAACTATTAACAAAATAACAACCAACAACCAGTTTGCTGTTAACAGATTCTGAAGAAGTCTGTAATAAAGAAAATACAGAAAAAGATTGGGAAATATCAGAACAAAGAATTTCAATACAAATTATGTAAGAAATCAAGAATCTCTATTCTTCCACACACACCCAGTTAAGATATTAGAATGAATAATGGCTAAGTTTGTAAGTCTCCTGGTACAAAAAAAACACATCTGAAAAGAGGATGTGGCTTTTCATATTCTTGTTCCAATCCATACTCTACTATACAACTACAAATTGTAAACTAACTGAAAAACTGAATGTATCTCAGTGAAACAATACTATATGAAGACAGACAATGGTGAAATCAAAAAAAATGTCAAATCATGTTGCAACAAACAAGTTAAATAAACAGCCCTTACAATTAATACTCACACATTCTATATTTACCAAAATTCACTTTTTTGCACATTTGCAAGAAAGCTTCAGAAGGTA